CAATATTTACATAGTACAATACATAAGGAAATCGAAATTCCTAAATGTCGAAAATGCTCATTGAACAAAATCATTGCGAGGCCAGAGTTGAGCTACGAGTAGGAAAAATGCCTGCGGAGACACTTGAAGGCGTCATAAATTAGGCGACATTGCAACAGGTCTACTGTACCCTACCCTCGGTTAAATGTCCACGGCACTACTCGTCCCTTACCACCTATAATTGCCAGTGGAGATCTCACAAGTAGATAAAGAAAAAGAAAGAATACAACGCGATCAATAGAGATAGATAGATATGAAGGAAATACTTACATACCGCGCGTGAAGAAAGTGACCGTACTATAATGCAAATTCGTCGTAAAAATGGGAAAGTACTTATTTCTCAATTTGATTTGAAAAAAGAACTGAATTTATTCACAAAAGATTTGCGAAGAGAAAGAAAATAAAGAATCAAAACGGATTCCCGTATCATCGAATTCCTTGCGATTAATGAGACCGTCAATCTTTTCAGGAAGGAATATTTCAATACGTACGAAGACACATGCACCTCATGCGCATTAAATAGATCGTAAAGTGATACGTCTGTACCTCGTATGTGACATTCTTCAATTTATAAATAATATGAACGAGATTGCTACTANGATTTATTCATACTGAAATCTGTGACATATATCTAATAGTAAACGTATAGGATATCTATTTCGTAGCAGGCCATTCGCCTCGCCGCGTGCTCCGTGCGTGATTGACTGCTCAACTGCTCAGCGACTAGCACGCTTGCCAACTCTGCTAGCGCGGTTTATTCAAATACACTACAGATGCTATTAGGAAGGAGATTGGTGCGGACTCCGCCTGGGCGTGGGAGTCCGAGAAAAGGGCGGTTATCGACCGAGAGATTGGACGTTTTCCTCAGGATTGGTTATAGAAAGGGAAAACGCGGTTCCCGGCGATCGACGGCGTCGATCGATAGTGTGGAAGGAGGCGGGTCTTAGGACCCAAATAAATAGCGGATGCGTTTGGAGAGCGCATAGTAGTTCAGTCTAATAATTCTCTGGAGAAGTTTCTTGATTCAGATCACATTAGTTGTGCGAGACAGTTCTCTTAAGTCAGCTCAACCAAACAGTCTCAACGCGTCGCTACCAGCCGTCCAAATAGAGAAGATAATAAACCGATTTTGAACACGGTGCATCGTTACTTTCCCTTGGCCACCTACTCGCTAACACTCGTGAGAGGGTTAACAGAGTGGCAACGCTTCTGTTAACGCGCGACCCGAAAAAAGGGCCCAAGAGGGCTCGAACCGGCAAGGTAGATTCATGAAATCCCACAGAATGACTGTTTCGGACAGCGTTGAGATATTTTTTACCTCGGCCGGAAAGTGGGGACGACACGACCATGGTGGGGACCAATAGTTGGTGGGAGTATGCAGTGATTTTCACGGTAGCGCTGCGGAGAGCTTCGCGAACGCGCATGAGCACGCATGAGGGGAATAGTAGTGGGGATCGAAATACGGGCGAAAAACAGGGGAAGCGAGACTCGAGGTAAAAAATATCTCAACGCTGGTTCCGGAGTGTACCGACCTTCAGGCTCACCGATGCCGGTGCCGACGCTTTTTTCCAGCACGATAGGTAATAGGTAACCGTAGAACGTTGATATTATCAACGTTATACTTGATTCGGGATTAGTACTTCGGAAAGAGAATAACTATCATTTTCAAATTTTGTTACACTTGTATTACTTTATTTTCATTAGTGCACACCATATTTTGCATTTAATAATGCATGTTTGATAGTAGCACAGCCTATTTTAATACCTCGCCATGCTGAGAATAAAATGGCAACATCGCGAGAGTCCAGATTTCGTGTAGTCGGCTGTGGTTGCACTATACGAAATTCGGACCCTGGCAGTGTTGCCATTTTATTCTCAGCATGGCGAGGTATTAAAATAGGCTGTGCTACTATCAAACATGCATTATTAAATGCAAAATATGGTGTGCACTAATGAAAATAAAGTAATACAAGTGTAACAAAATTTGAAAATGATAGTTATTCTCTTTCCGAAGTACTAATCCCGAATCAAGTATAACGTTGATAATATCAACGTTCTACGGTTACCTATTACCTATCGTGCTGGAAAAAAGCGTCGGCACCGGCATCGGTGAGCCTGAAGGTCGGTACACTCCGGAACCAGCGTTGAGATATTTTTTACCTCGAGTCTCGCTTCCCCTGTTTTTCGCCCGTATTTCGATCCCCACTACTATTCCCCTCATGCGTGCTCATGCGCGTTCGCGAAGCTCTCCGCAGCGCTACCGTGAAAATCACTGCATACTCCCACCAACTATTGGTCCCCACCATGGTCGTGTCGTCCCCACTTTCCGGCCGAGGTAAAAAATATCTCAACGCTGTCCGAAACAGTCATTCTGTGGGATTTCATGAATCTACCTTGCCGGTTCGAGCCCTCTTGGGCCCTTTTTTCGGGTCGCGCGTTAACAGAAGCGTTGCCACTCTGTTAACCCTCTCACGAGTGTTAGCGAGTAGGTGGCCAAGGGAAAGTAACGATGCACCGTGTTCAAAATCGGTTTATTATCTTCTCTATTTGGACGGCTGGTAGCGACGCGTTGAGACTGTTTGGTTGAGCTGACTTAAGAGAACTGTCTCGCACAACTAATGTGATCTGAATCAAGAAACTTCTCCAGAGAATTATTAGACTGAACTACTATGCGCTCTCCAAACGCATCCGCTATTTATTTGGGTCCTAAGACCCGCCTCCTTCCACACTATCGATCGACGCCGTCGATCGCCGGGAACCGCGTTTTCCCTTTCTATAACCAATCCTGAGGAAAACGTCCAATCTCTCGGTCGATAACCGCCCTTTTCTCGGACTCCCACGCCCAGGCGGAGTCCGCACCAATCTCCTTCCTAATAGCATCTGTAGTGTATTTGAATAAACCGCGCTAGCAGAGTTGGCAAGCGTGCTAGTCGCTGAGCAGTTGAGCAGTCAATCACGCACGGAGCACGCGGCGAGGCGAATGGCCTGCTACGAAATAGATATCCTATACGTTTACTATTAGATATATGTCACAGATTTCAGTATGAATAAATCGTATGAGTTTTTCTATGCTACAAAGAGTGAGTGATTATTGGGCAATAGCCTATATATACGACAATTGGTGTCAGAACGGTTCGAGCACATGCCGACGCCAGCGGAAAAAATGGCGGAATGAACGCTCTCAAAGTGAGGGAAGGAAGTAGGTAGAGATTAAAAGACACATCGGTACTTGTCATGGCAGGGGACGACGAAGTATCACCGGATTTGGTCGCGGCAATAACGAAGGCGCTCGCCAATGCTCTAAAGGTAGTTATTCCGACTGCGACAGGCGAAGCAGCCAACGGGTAAAACGTGCAACCGGCACAGTCTAAACCGCCACCATTCGTGTTTCGGGAATTCCGAACTTGTGATGGCACAACAGTCGAAGATTATTTTAAGCGCTTCGATTGGGCATTACAGTTGAGCAAGATTCCGATTGAGCAGTACGCCAATTACGCGCGAGTTCATATGGGTGTGGAATTGAACAATGCTCTCAAATTTCTAGTTGCTCCAGAAACTCCGGAATTTCGTATCTACGAGCAAATATGCTCCGCGTTGACCGCACATTTCAACAGCCCCAAGAATAAGTATACGGAAAGTGTTAAGTTTCGACATATTATACAGCAAAAGGGTGAATTAGTTGCTACGTTTGCGTTACGACTAAGGCAAGGAGCTGCACATTGCGACTACGGGGAGTTTTTGGACAGGATACTGATCGAGCAACTTCTACACGGGCTCCATGATCGCGACGAAATCATTTCGAAGAAGCCGAATACGTTCAAGGATGCGTATGAAATCGCGCATTCTCTGGAGTTGACACGGCAGACAGCAGATGAAGTTAAAGCGGCGCCAGTGATGCCAGCTGAGAAGACAAACACGCTCATGGCTGCTCCGACGTTGTATAAGAGAAGCAAGAGAGGTAAAGGCGCTTATCGTCGTGATAGATCATGCAGTCGAACGCAGAATCAAGCGGCAAGAAACAACGCTTCGCGTGATTCGGCACACGGACGCGACCCAAAGGAGCAATGCGCGCGGAACAGCTGCAACGGATGCGGGGCTCCACACAAGCGCATTGACTGTCCACATAGGGTGTCCGAGTGCTACAAATGCAAGAAAAAAGGGCACATTGCAAAAGTGTGCAAGTCGAAACCGACACTTGCAACGGCTCAAGTGAGGTCTGGGGAGTTGCCAATACAGCAACTCGACACTGTGCGATGTTTGAACAAGGTCGAGGAAACGCATACCCTGAAAGCTTGCGACAAAATGATGCTTCACGTTCAAATTGACGGACCGTAGAAATGGAGCTAGATACCGGGGCACCGTGCGGCATCGTAAGCAGTACCACGTTACGCAAAATTAAAAGTAATTATTACTTACATCCAACAGACAGGAAGTTCATGAGTTATACACATCACCCAATAAATTGCATCGGTCGGATCCGTGTAAATGTCACTTTAGGTAAAACCACACGGGAGCTTGACTTGTACGTCATGGAAGGCGAATATGATTCCTTGTTCGGACGCGAGTGGCTCGCTCAGTTTAAGCAGGAATTTAACTGGGATTCACTTTTTACGTTCCAAGTTCAGGCAGTAGCTGCGTCTGCGCCGCAGCTCACTGTTGACCAGGAAAGACAGCTGGATCAGTTACTAGCTAGACATGCCGGGGTTTTTAGCAACTCAGCAGGGAAGCTGATTGGACCACCAGTAAAAGTACACTTCAAACCGGGAGCGACCCCTGTGTTCGCGCGTGCCCGCGAGATTCCGCACGCACTGCGCCATGCATACGCAAAAGAGATAGATGCGAAACTGGCGTCTGGTCCCTACGTGAAGGTGGACTATTCGGAATGGGCATCGACAACGCACGTGGTGATGAAAAAGAATGGCAAGATACGCATTACCGACAATTATAAACCAACGTTGAATCAACGAATAATTATCGATGAGCATCCTATCCCGAGAGCAGAGAGGATTTTCAGCGAGATAGAGGGAGCTACAGTTTTTGCTCACCTTGATATCACAGATGCATATACGCACCTGGTAGTGGATGAGGAGTTCAGCCAGGCGTTGACGCTCAACACGCCGACACACGGGCTGATTCGGCCATTACGAGCGGTTTATGGAGCCGCAAACATTCCAGCAATCTGGCAACGGAGAATCGAGGCGGTGATAAAAGGTATCCAAAAGGTACGGAATTTCTTCGATGATATTCTCGTTTTTGCAAGTTCCTTTGAGGAGCTGCTAGTAATCCTCGATGAGTTGCTGGGGCGACTCGAGGAACACGGCCTCCGCCTGAATCGTGCGAAGTGTATTTTCGCCGCGCCCGCGGTGGAGATGTTGGGGCATAAAATCGACGCTCAAGGGGTGCACAAATCGGACACGCACATTGAGGCGATTAGGGATGCTCCCAAGCCATCCACGCCAGAGGAAATGGAGCTATTTATTGGGAAAGCAACATACTACAACGCATTCATCCCAGACTTAGCGACGAAAGCTCGACCACTACGAGACATGTTACTCGTGGAACCATTCAAATGGACGTCAGAAGCAGAAAAAGCATATGTGGAACTGAGAAACATTCTAATCTCTCCACAGGTGCTGATGCCATACGATCCGTCTTTACCACTGCTTCTTGCTACGGATGCCAGCGCGATCGGACTAGGAGCAGTTCTATCGCATAAACTAAGCAGTGGACTGGAGAGGCCAATCGCATATGCCAGTCGCACAATGACAGCGACCGAGCAACGGTACCCGCAAATTGACAAGGAGGCTTTGGCCATAATATTCGGAGTTCAAAAATTTTTCAATTACTTATACGCACGCCGTTTCACGCTTATTACAGACCATAAGCCACTAACGCAAATTCTCCATCCAGAAAAATCGCTGCCAGTGCTGTGCATCAGTAGAATGGCAAATTATGCCGATTATCTTTCGCACTTTATATACGATGTGCAGTTTAAATCGACTAAAGCGAACGCGAATGCAGACTATTGTTCGCGTGCACCATTAGCGATCACGACAAACAGCATATACGAAGGCTGTCGGCGAGAAGGGGAAGAGGCCACAGAGTTTGACGAATTCGACACTTTCATGTTGTGCCAGATTAAGCAGCTTCCAGTGCGAGCGGAGCAGATAGCGAGAGAGACGCGCAAGGACACTCATCTGGGCGAGATTGTGCGACTGTTGGAAGCAGGGAAGAATCTCGCATGCTACGGATACAAAGCTCCGGAGGCTAACTACAGTCTCTCTTCAAATTGCTTAATTTTCGAGCATCGAGTCGTCGTGCCTCCTTCATTGAGTCCGGCTATACTCGACGACTTGCATGCAGCTCACGTGGGCATAGTCAAGATGAAAGGTTTAGCACGTTCATTCGTCTACTGGCCAGGTATCGATGCTGATATCGAACGCATAGCGAAATCATGTACGGAGTGCGCTAGACACGCTCATGCCCCTCCAAAATTTCGGGAGCATCATTGGGAATATCCTACGGGGCCCTGGGAACGCATTCACATCGACTACGCGGGACCTGTCGCAGGTATGATGCTACTGATAGTAGTGGACGCGTATAGTAAGTGGATGGAAGTCAAAACGACGAGTTCGATCACTAGTGCGGCGACAATCGATATCCTAGACGAGATATTCGCGGCATATGGCGCACCTGTCACGGTAGTTTCGNTTAGGTAAAACCACACGGGAGCTTGACTTGTACGTCATGGAAGGCGAATATGATTCCTTGTTCGGACGCGAGTGGCTCGCTCAGTTTAAGCAGGAATTTAACTGGGATTCACTTTTTACGTTCCAAGTTCAGGCAGTAGCTGCGTCTGCGCCGCAGCTCACTGTTGACCAGGAAAGACAGCTGGATCAGTTACTAGCTAGACATGCCGGGGTTTTTAGCAACTCAGCAGGGAAGCTGATTGGACCACCAGTAAAAGTACACTTCAAACCGGGAGCGACCCCTGTGTTCGCGCGTGCCCGCGAGATTCCGCACGCACTGCGCCATGCATACGCAAAAGAGATAGATGCGAAACTGGCGTCTGGTCCCTACGTGAAGGTGGACTATTCGGAATGGGCATCGACAACGCACGTGGTGATGAAAAAGAATGGCAAGATACGCATTACCGGCAATTATAAACCAACGTTGAATCAACGAATAATTATCGATGAGCATCCTATCCCGAGAGCAGAGAGGATTTTCAGCGAGATAGAGGGAGCTACAGTTTTTGCTCACCTTGATATCACAGATGCATATACGCACCTGGTAGTGGATGAGGAGTTCAGCCAGGCGTTGACGCTCAACACGCCGACACACGGGCTGATTCGGCCATTACGAGCGGTTTATGGAGCCGCAAACATTCCAGCAATCTGGCAACGGAGAATCGAGGCGGTGATAAAAGGTATCTGAAAGGTACGGAATTTCTTCAATGATATTCTCGTGTTTGCAAGTTCCTTTGAGGAGCTGCTTGTAATTCTCGATGAGTTACTGGGGCGACTCGAGGAACACGGCCTCCGCCTGAATCGTGCGAAGTGTATTTTCGCCGCGCCCGCGGTGGAGATGTTGGGGCATAAAATCGATGCTCAAGGGGTGCACAAATCGGACACGCACATTGAGGCGATTCGGGATACTCCCAAGCCATCCACGCCAGAGGAAATGGAGCTATTTATTGGGAAAGTAACATACTACAACGCATTCATCCCAGACTTAGCGACGAAAGCTCGACCACTACGAGACATGTTACTTGTTGAACCATTCAAATGGACGTCAGGAGCAGAAAAAGCATATGTGGAACTGAGAAATATTCTAATCTCTCCACAGGTGCTGATGCCATACGACCCGTCTTTACCACTGCTTCTTGCTACGGATGCCAGCGCGATCGGACTGGGAGCAGTTCTATCGCATAAACTAAGCAGTGGACTGGAAAGACCAATCGCATATGCCAGTCGCACAATGACAGCGACCGAGCAACGGTACCCGCAAATTGACAAGGAGGCTTTGGCCATAATATTCGGAGTTCAAAAATTTTTCAATTACTTATACGCACGCCGTTTCACGCTTATTACAGACCATAAGCCACTAACGCAAATTCTCCATCCAGAAAAATCGCTGCCAGTGCTGTGCATCGGTAGAATGGCAAATTATGCCGATTATTTTTCGCACTTTATATACGATGTGCAGTTTAAATCGACGAAAGCGAACGCGAATGCAGACTATTGTTCGTGTGCACCATTATCGATCACGACAAACAGCATATACGAAAGCTGTCCGCGAGAAGGGAAAGAGGCCACAGACTTTGACGAATTCGATACTTTCATGTTGTGCCAGATTAAGCAGCTTCCAGTGCGAGCGGAGCAGATAGCGAGAGAGACGCGCAAAGACACTCATCTGGGCGAGATTGTGCGACTGTTGGAAGCAGGAAAGATTCTCGCATGCTACGGATACAAAGCTTCGGAGGCTAATTACAGTCTCTTTTCAAATTGCTTAATTTTCGAGCATCGAGTCGTCGTGCCTCCTTCGTTGAGTACGGCTATACTCGACGACTTGCATGCAGCTCATGTGGGCATAGTCAAGATGAAAGGTTTAGCACGTTCATTATACTATACAGGTATTGATGCTGATATCGAACGCATAGCGAAGTCATGTACGGAGTGCGCTAGACACGCTCATGCCCCTCCAAAATTTCGGGAGCATCATTGGGAATATCGTACGGGGCCTTGGGAGCGCATCCACATCGATTACACTGGACCTGTCGCAGGTATAATGCTACTGATAGTAGTGGACGCTTATAGTAAGTGGATAGAAGTCAAGACGACGAGTTCGATGACTAGTGCGGCGATAATCGATATCCTAGACGAGATATTCGCGGTATACACCTGTCACGGTAGTTTCTGACAACGGGCGACAATTCGTCTCTGAGGAGTTCGAGATATTTTTGAAAATGAGTGGAATCAAATACCATAAGGTTTCAGCAGTTATCGAGTCCAGGTTTGTCCTAAAACAGCTCTCTTATTCCGCATTCCAGACGCTCGCTACCCAGCCGTGTCCGTCGACACATTTGCCATTGACAAGCTCAGCGCGTTCCCGCATTTACCCAAGCTTCGCTTGTGACGTGGGGAAAACTCTTCTTGAAAAAACCCACGCCAGGAACGGCCGTTACAATAATAAATAAATCTATCCGCGCGTCGTCGACCAAATATATTTACGAGCAAAAAAGATACCGACTTAAGACTAAACACGCACAATACGACCGATACTTGGGATACGTGAGCTACGCGAGCCAGCCCCTCCCGGAAACACAAGCGAGCCCTTTCAGACGCAATTTCCCTGCCAGATGTCAAGTGCCTGGCGCACACATCGAGTCCGCCAAGGACCCACAGGGTCCGGTGACAATCCGCACGCAGTCATAAAAAGGCTAACCGGCCCAAGACTGCAGGCTCAAACTACAGGCGTTGTCTATTCGTTCGTTTTCTCGCTCGACCCAACGATTGACATAAGCCATAAACCCTACTTCAATTTTCCACGGGTGCTTGCGTTCGGGAGGTCTGCTAAATAATTTATTGCATAACAGCCAAAAACTACGTGCGTTGACGGTCCCCGGAATTGCAATAGAGTCTACTCTCTCTGAAGTGCTCTGCTTCCAGACGACACGCCTCCACAGGGCAACTGGGTCGCAGAGGAAGATCCCCAGTCTTCCTCTGTCCCGAACTCGTCGTTTTATCAACCGTCATCGGTTGGAGACGAGGAATACGGCCCCGACGATCCCAAATTCGAACCATCGTGCACGGAGCCTACGCAGCGGTGTCTAAACCGCTACGTTGAGACGCTCGCCTTTAGAAGTCGCAATTCCCGTCCATACACTCAAGTTCACGTCGGTAACACACTCTTTAGTAATCTCTCCTCGGTGTCAATACTTAGAATATTGTAACGAGTAATAGGGATGTATGTTCAAATTCCTAGATTCGTTTCAACATTCATTTCAAATCCTATTTCCAAATTAGCTTGACAACCGGAGTATTCCGCGAACGATACGTCTCGAGAGCCGCTCGAAACGTATCAACGAAGTTGACCTGCCAATCCGACAACCTTGATACCTAGTGGCTAAAGAGAACTGATCATATCTCGTCGTCCACGTCCTACAGCTACCGAAGTTAACCCTGAGTGTTAGATTAGGTTCGCCTGTGCGTCTCTCTCCTTCCTTAAGTAAACCCCAGTCGACATACTCGGTCACCCGTCGGGCCCCTGGCACGGTTCGACCTCTTAACAATGTTTTCGACATCAGGCGGTTTCTTGCCAGTTTAGAATGACAGAACGATCTCAGCCGTCAAACAATGAACATTCGAATAGCTTTCGCTTCAAATAATTGTAACATCGTTAAAATAGCATTTATTAAATTACTATTTGTATGCAGTCCGAGTAATTTAAAAATGAACTTCAAGTTTCAACTAAGTGTCCAACATTTTATTCCACAACATTTGAACATTCCTGGGAATGCGTTGATCCGAACTATTATTTTTTCTGGCTGCATATCCGCAGAAGTATGTACATATAATGGGAGTAACATCTTAAAATGAGTATGAGTCTTATGGATTTGACTAATGATTGAAGCAAAAGGAGAACGTTTAAGAGTTAATATAGGAAGTAATGCTCGGTCATTAATGCTCGGATATTAATTCTCAATCCTTTAAGTTTTTCTCATTCTTCGTACTTTTACCGTTATTATCATCGCAATCATTGAAATCATAATTCTATTACTTGCTTTACGTAATAATAAAACCTGTTCTCTCGCACTATTTTACGAATTGTTTCGCTAGCCGACATTATCTTTCAGACTCTTCAGCTTTTACTTCGTTCACGTTCTAATTCTGTTTCACATATAGGAAAAAAGAAAAATGGACTTAAGAATTAAAAAAATATACAAGTGCAAATATTATACGTATGTTGTTATGTGAAAAATTATATGATAAATATTTTAATAATATTATATGAAATATTTCATTAAAACATTTAAAAAGTGTATAACAATCCTTTATTCTTATCTTGTAGGTATATAATAAGATAAGTCACATATAAAATTTTATCTTTAATGATTTCATTACTCTTCTAATATATTGTTTTACGTATTGTCTGTTCAATACAGAATACAATTATTGCTTTTGTGCTTGATTATACTTTCACAAATTATGCATACATTTGAACGATGTAGATTCATCCATTTATTAGTTAAACTATACATGTATATCAATATTTAAGTATGTACTCCTCAATTGATTATCATGTAGCGTGTAAAAATCCACTTGCTTTAATTACATTGTTTACGCAGACCTCAGAACAGTACAATATGAGACGCACACTTTTACGACCTAGAATAACGTAAAAACTATCGTTCTTCCCAATTGAATAACTGTCACCTGATAACGATTTACCTCTGCGAAAGTGTCCAAATTCAATTTCACCAGTCCGCCAGCCGTCAGTTGAGGTGGTGTCAGATTTCTGCGTTGAATCAAAACGAATAGTGCTTGCGTCTTGACGTTTCCTCCATACCAGCACGTTTCGAAGCTATGACAATCATCAAGAAGTACTTGTGATAAAAATCCATAAAAAAAAATGCTTTCTAATATACTATGAACGATGTATAGAATAATATTGAATGATTAATGCATTATTAACGGGTTTGTATCAAATCACCGACAATATTTTAATCGACAACATGTGACCTGGCTGACAAGAGTAGTTCACCAACAATGCTTATATCAACATTTGTTTCACCGACATTGACTTCACTGAGGATGAAGTCACTGATGGTGAAATTACCGACATTAACACTATATTTACTTACTTATGTATCCGAAACTGTATTCGTATACCATCATTATCATAAAGTAAAATAATAACTTCGGTACAATACATTATACATGTGTATTATATATTGAAGTAATTGTGAAGTTGTAAGGCAATAAGTATAATAGAGTAAGAACGGTAATTAAAAGTAATGAGTAAATATTAAACGAAAATTATAAGATTACACTATATGCTGGAAACACTGACAGTGAATTCATTGTTAGCAAAGTCAACGTCGGTGAAACAAGCTTTGGTACAAATATTGTTGATGAATTATACTTATCAGCGAAATCAATGTCGGTCAAATGTTGTCGATAAAATAATTGGCGGTGGTTTGATACAAACTCATTATTAACACAATTGATTTGAAATCCGATACTCACGTTTTAATGTAAATGCTATCTTGCAAGTTGATCACGAATTGACCTTGAACCGTAAGGAAGAAGATGTGTACAAACTGAGAAATCGCAAATCCGAAGTAATGATAAGTTTCCATATTAAATGACACCGTGGCTGCCTATTTTTTCAATCATTTTTAACACAATTTACGATTTTGATTGAATAATAAGAGATTTCACATTTTCATGGTTCGGCATTATACAATTCACAATCTTGAAGTTTTCGGGTGTAAACCGTGTCCGGGAGAAATTATCATTCCCATAATTGTAAGACTAATACAGGGTGTCCCAGAACTAATACTACGTCCGAAAATGAGGAGGAGCTGAGGTGATTTTAAACAAATTTCTCCTTTGTGAAAAAGTTGTCCGAGGCGTGGTTATTGAGTTATTAACAAAAATCCCCGACCAATCAGAGCGCGAGTATACAAGGCGGGCAGGAGCGCGGCAACCGCCTTGTGCGTTGCCGCGCCCGTATGTTAAGCTCGTGACGAGGGCATAGGTTTAAAGAAAAGTTGCATGCAAGAACAAACTATTAAATTGATTAAATGTCAGAGGAAAGAAAGCGATTAGCCGTTACTTACGATCACTGAACAAATGTAACATACTCAATGAAATAATTAACAACTTTACAAATTACAGAGTAGGTAAAATTATGAAAAATACGAAAAGAATCAGAGTTGGACTTACTTTTTCGTTGGTAAGTGCATCTGCTCCTAGAAGAACGTCAATGGGTGAATGGATCGACCTTCGGCAGTCGTAGATAGGACACATGGCTTGCAGCAGCTGATGCTTGGAGTAAGTCAGTGACCTGCACGATTTTTTCCTTATCATCACGATCACTATCATTCTCCCACTGAAAAATTTTCATAGAACAAAAGTTGTCACTTTTACTCTTTTCATATTCACTATCACTTTTCATTTCACAAATCCACTGTCACATTGTACTTTGCAATTGACAATTTGCATGCACGTTTTTATTTTAATTGTTAGTTCCGATCGGAATACCGCTCGCGGAACAATTCCACTGCCGCTATTGGAGTATAACTCACCTACGTAAATAACGAACATATTAAAATATTCCGTATTCGTTAGGACACGCACCGTTCTGTTTAGTGACACAAGGCAAAGCCAAATGACCGCTCGCTCGAAGATTTTCTTCTAGAAAATTTTTCCCCACTCGGAGAACAAGTTCGTTACAGAAAATGTGATTGTATTTTTCAACTAAATCCAACCTTCGTTTCCTTGTCATCCTTACAAATTCTTCACGTACAGAACATTCGAACCGATGACAAGAGACAGTTCCCAGACTTGCGCTTACCAGATGCCAAGGCCGAAGTTCCTTTTCTCGTATACACTCTGCTGGATGTATGCTGACTGAGTCCATGGCATGAAGTCGTACAAATGAAAGCTCTAATTCTCTTCGATTACTGTTAAAAAGACGTTCTGTACGTGAAGAATTTTTAAGGATGAAGGTCGGATTTAGTTGAAAAATACGAACACATTTTCTGTAACGAACTTGTCCACCGAATGGGGAAATATTTTTTGGAAGAAACTCTTCGAGCGAGCGGTCATTCGGCTTCGCCTTGCGTCACTAAGCAGAACGCTGTGTGCCCTAACGAACACAGAATATTTTAATATGTTAGTTATTTACGCGTAAGTTAGTTATAATCCAATAGCGGCAGTGGAATTGTTCCGCGAAGGGTATTCTGATCGGAACTAACAATTAAAATAAAAACGTGTATGCAAATTTTCAATTGTAAAGTAAAATGTGACAGTGGATTTGTAAAATGAAAAGTAGCAGTGAATTTGGAAAGTGTAAAAGTGACAATTTTTGTTTTGTGAAAATTTGCCAGTGGGAAAGTGACAAATATCGTGATGATAAGGAAAAAATCGTGCAGGTCACTGACTTACTCCAAGCATCAGCTGCTGCGAACCATATGTCCTATCTTCGAGTGCCGAAGGTCGACCCACTGACCCATTGACGTTCTTCTAGGAGCAGGTGCATTTACCAACGAAAAAGTAAGTTCAACTCTGATTCTTTTCGCATTTTTCATAATTTTCTTACTGTGTAATTTGTAAAGTTGTTAGTTATTTCATTGAGTATGTTACATTTGTTCAGTGAATGTTAGTAACGACTAATCGCTTTCTTTCTGCTGTGTTCCGTCCGTCCAACGAAAAAATAGAATTTATGATTGGCCCGCACTTAAGAAGGGTCAACTCGTTCCCAACCAGCCTTTTTCCGGTCATAAGAAAACAGTCGTTCTCAAAGGATAAAGGCACTTCAATTTATTTTAAGAACTGATCTCCAACCCAAGTCAAGGACAAGGCCTTTGTATATTCGAACGTGGAAACTTTTACGCAGTTTCTAACGTTTTTCCCTCCCCCAATGAGACCAAGATCCTCCAAAGGGGAAAAAGAAAGTGATCAGAGAAGGGAACGAACTGATTGGGCCTTAACACTTAAAACCAACCAATCAGGGTTTTTTCCTACGTTGCTGCCCCACCGAGGTCCCAATTTGGGGGTTTGGACGGTCGCTCCGAAGGAGGACGAAGTCAATTGAGTTTCCAACACGGTCACGTGGAAATATAAAATACGAGATTTAGCTATCATTCGAGCTCATCAAACATACAACGAATTTGCTTGACTATCGATATCTTCTATGCAACTCAACGACATTGCCGATCGCATTGAGGCACTTTAACTTGAGTTTGTAATTGCCAGCATTCGGAAAAATTGAAGATTAGTTTCGCATTTTCGTCATCAGCATTAGACATTTACGAAATCGTGGGAATCAAAATACCTTTGATTTCCACACGCAGGTCTGAACACGAACGTTCAAGGTTGTTCGAGACATTTTTTGGTCCTTCGAGCCGGATACACGTGCGAACCATTTGTAAAATCGGTGTGCGTTACGTTTTGCTTTGCTCTAATCACGTAGTGTTGTGCTTGCTGTCCATCGAAAACACGATTGAAACATTGACTCCAGGGAAGTCAGAGGATCGCTCAGACAACGTAACAGTCACTGCAATCATTGAAGTCAACGACAACAACCAGTCGGTCATCGATCAAGGTAGGCTCGTTATCAAACAAATCACCAATCTAACATCTGAATCCATAATTCCTTTAAAAAAAATCTCGCCTATCACTTGTTCAGCATCAGAGTTGATTACGGAATCAAAATGTCAACTTCAGATCACTTGACTGAAAACGAAATTCGTGCGTTGAAATACAAACGGCGTAATTTTAAATCTCAGATTACTGCACTGCAAAAAACCATTGTTTCGTTCGAAGATTCACTGAAAGAACGCGTGAAACTTCGCGGAAAAGTCGAACGCCTTAGGAAACAATTTGAAGGATTTAACGAAATTCAAGACAAATTAGATCTTGCAGAAGGTGGCGACGAAGTAGAAGCAGAACGCGAACTCGTTATCGATCAATACGACGATGCGATCGCGAGCGCGGTGACTTTACTTGAACAATTTGAACGGTCAACAATGCATCAGCCATCAACTAGTTTTCGAAACACGAATGCATCTCCAGCATTATCAATGAATCCATCCGTAATCGGAATTCATTTGCCAAAAATCGATTTACCAAAATTCGACGGCCGTCTAGAAAAATGGATCGCTTTTAAAGACGTTTTTCAAACTATGATCCATTCACATACCGGGCTCAGCGATATACAGAAGTTAAATTACTTGCGACTCTCATTATCCGGAAAGGCTGAATCCGCGATCGAATCTTTTACTATTAGCGAAGATAATTACAAGGCAGCATGGGAACAATTGTTGGAAACCTATGATAACACACGAGCACTTGTTCTGCGACATGCTTCATTATTACGCGATACTCCGGAAATGTGCGACGATACGGCCGAATCAATTCATGATTTAATAAATTATATGCAATCACATATTAGATCTCTGCAAGCCTTGGGTAGGTCATGGGAAGATATTGAAAATGATTTAATAACAAGTATCGCGATTTCAAAAATGGGTACAGACACTCGGAAGTCGAGGGAGCAAACGCTAGTAGATACAAAAATGCCGAAGATCACCGACATATTCAAGTATCTTCGAAATGCATCTCATCAATGCAAGGATAATGAATTGTCAAGGTCTGCCATTACTAAAAGGAAAGAACGAGTAAAATCTAATAGTATTCGTAAAGAACGCCAGGCTGCGCAATTCAAAAGACCGTCTTCACCACGCCCTTTTACCTCTAATAAACGCCGGACCTTCGTAACTAAGACCACATCGCGTTGTCGAATTTGCAAATTACAGTCTCATCCGACATATAATTGCAACAAACTCGTAGTCGCAAACCATAGCGAAAAGGTGCAATTAGTTCAAAAGGCAAAACCTTGCCTGAATTGCGTCCTTCCAGGTCACACCGCAAAAGAGTGTAAATCGGGAAGATGTCGAGTGTGTAATGAACGACATAACACAAAATTACACCATGAGCCAAAACCGTGTGACGAGAAACCATGACTAGCTCCTCAAAAAATCGAACAGTTTTGACAACGACAAGGCACCACGTTAATTGCAAATGATCAAACCAACGGATTGTTAACAACCGCGAAAATATATGTGATGAACCGTGATCTACAATTCATTGAGTGTCGCACTTTGTTGGATACATGTTCGAATGCTAATTTTATAACAGAGGAATTGGCAAAAAGGCTTCGGCTGCCATTCCAACAGACATCCGTGGCAATTGAGGCATTAAATGAATTAAGCACCAATATCTGTAGACTCGTATCAACCACGATTAAATCACGTACAACAAATTTCCAAAGGACTCTAACTTTTCTTACAATACCGAAAATCTCAGGACCATTGCCAGAGGTCCCAATCGAACGTTCAAAAATTGCGATTCCATTAAATATCAAGCTTGCTGATCCAACTTTTCATCAACCAACATCCATACACATGCTACTTGGTACAGGTGTCACACTTGCAGCTCTTAGCGTCGAACAAATTGAATTGTCGTACAATAATGGATCAGATTTGATCCTTCAAAAATCGCAATTGGGATGGATTATCGGAGGCAATGTGCCAAGGTTCGTCACACGTTTCAAACGTCAAACTTTTTTAACATCGCTAGGTTTTGACATCAAACAATTTTGGGAGATAGAAGAAGGGTGTCCTAAGCAACACATGTCATTAACAGAGCGAAAGTGCGAGGAACATTTTTCTCAACATGTTACGCGTGACGATTCCGGACGTTATACAGGGTGTAAACCTACA